CGATCGTCCATTCGCCTTGTTAGTACTCCATGACGGGTCTCGCAAGGCTGTGAAGTCTATCTGGCCCCCTACACCTACAAAGACGCTGACGCTGACGCTGTTGGGCTGCTCTGATCCGGCCCCGAGATCTGCTTTCCCCCATCAGCTGAACCCCCGGAGGAATGCACGAGGATCTTTTCCCGAGACCATGAACTGGTCAGATCCGGTCCGTGATCTTGAAAACCGGCTCACATTATCCCTCTTCTGTTGAATAGGCAACGTCTCCGATCACAGTCTGCGGCAATAATCGAGGGGCAGACAACAGAGTCTGTGAAACAGACGCTGTTTGCGCGACCAACGAGCATTGTTGCCACGACACTCCAGCCTATCTGCAGTCATGCGGCGTGATCGTCACACCCTTGAGGGCCACAGCGGCGCGGGACTGGATGAAGCCTAATTTCTTTGCCATCCAGTCATTGATCTCTCCTGCCACAGTCACTTGACTTGTATCTGGTACAACTGCTATACTGAAACACCAGATATGTGCAATCCCTTGTGGAAATTTGTCCCAGCATCCGGAGGGGAGTTCAGCCGAGAGCACCAGTGAGATGACAGCGTCCATTATTTGGCCGAGGATCTTCTCATCGCGGTTGGGCTGTACATTGATGCACGGCTCAGCTATGCGAACCTCATCTCTCAACTGTCTGGGCTGGAGCCAATACATGCAGAGATCAAGTGAGGAGGATACTGTCCTGTTCCTGGATGGTGTCGTTTCCCCAGGAGTGTCCGGCTTGCGAGCGTCTGTCTGCTGTGCCTCTTGGATTCGAGCGTTCCCCTACCAGTCTCCGCTTTCCTGCTCTGAGGATTGCCTCAGGCGAACTGTGCCTTACGAGCACAGGGATCCCGCCAACCGACACATCCTATTTTACCTCTAATAGTAACCTTCTTTGTGCCGTGAACACTGTTGGTTGCTGGGCGAAATCATGTACTCACCACGTCGAGGCCCTGGAAACCAGCCAGGAATACCCCTGGTGATAGCATCTCGCGACGTTCGTGGTGCCTGCCTTCGTTCAAGAGGAAATAACCAACTGACCGATTCGTCGTCAATAGACCCGGGCAAAAGAGGCAACTACTCATACCAAGGTGTTGCAAGCGCTTACCACGCTCCGCTTCTCTGCAGATAGAGCCGCGGTTGACACGTTGGAAATGCTCAGGCGACCGCAATGTGCTGGCCTGATCTGGCCTGGCCGCACGTGGACCATCTGAGCCTGAGCAGTCGGATCGCGGCCCGTAGAGTTCTCAGCGTCGAATTACGCCTTGGACAGTTGTCCTGAAAGTCTTGACTTTTTTTGTCTCCTGGAACAAACACCCACTGACTGACTAGAATCCCAAATGGATCAACAGCAAGACAAAGCCAGTAACGTTACTTGGTATGAACTACGCAGGCCGTGTATTTGTGGCCTAGAGACCAACCAGCGCCCACAGGCCTGTCTGTTGTCTTATCAGACATGCACCTGCCAGGCTTACACCTGGGCATGCGTACCATGTTCAGCCCTAGGGATTGAGTGCTGACAATGGACTGCCGTGCTTTACTCAGCGAGCGCGGTGTCAGAACCCAGAATGAGCTTCGTAAAAGAGGATACTACCCACACTTGCTGGGTCAGCCCCTCCAAAAGTGAGGCGCGAAGTACTGTACATCGTGGACTCCGCCCCATCCAAGCCCACCAGCCAGCCGTCCGGCCGGATCACAAGACGATGAAATAGGAAAACGCGCTGCGAATCACCAGCCCTACCAGCCTACGTCTTGGAGACGCACCTGAAGCCAATGTGACATATCAATTCCTCAGGACTGCCCCCACAAGACCCTTGTGGTCCTCGGCGTCTAGTGGGCGGGGGGCACGCCGGATGGTTTTCCGTGTGGGCGTGGAACCAAACAACTTTGTTGAACAGGGCCTGTCTGCCGGGCATGTTGGCGCAATTGGGCGCCTTACGGGGCAGCATTGACAAGCGGGACAAATAGTGGATTTGCGGCGGGAAAGACAAAAGGTCCAACCTGCATATGCAGCGGTGTTGCTCCGCCTGTGGGGACCGGCATCATCGCCATGGGCCGATCGCGGTGTAGTGTTTGCCTGCACGGTATGAAGCCGCAAAGCCCCTGGGCGTTCAGCCGTCCAGCATCGCAACCAATGGCTTGTGGGCAAAAGTTCCGGGCCCATATAGAATATGCGAAGGTTGGGGGGGGGGTCTTGTCGCGCCCAGTCCCCCCGGGGGTGATGCGGGTACGAGGACACAGCACCGGTACAACAGAGCCTCAAGCCCCATCCCACGGTTGATGGAAGATCGCACCAGGCCATAAAGTTTTGCCGTGCTCACATCTACCTTCCAGAATCATCATCCGTCCCATATTGAACATGGAACGGAAGCCCCTGTCTCTCTGAATCCACGGAATGGGGCTCACCCCTCGCTCTGAGCTTCACACCGCTGTGGATCCCCCACGGACGGATAGGCCAGTGGCTTGCAGCTGGTATTTAACCCTATTTGTTTTCATATGCTCATATTCTCCTGTGTAAGACTCCGCTGAACCCCAGGCTGGCCGGTGGGGCCAAGTGTGCAGTATACCATACCAGCCAAGCGTGGCAGCGTGGCAGCGTGGCACGGAACTCGCGTCTCGTGGTTTGGTCGGTGGCTGAACCTGACATTCAGCTCTCTGTACGCAATTTCGAGAAGCAGCATATGTCTGACCCGACAGTATGGGTGCGTCGGAGAACTGGTTCGAAGGACTCGAGCCACGGCAACATATCGCGACCTCCCTTACCGTTCAGGGGAGTGTGTGCGACAGATCATTTCCCAGCACGTGTCCGGTATCAACGGCACAGCACATGCAGCTCGAATTCGAAGCCCCCATTTGGGTGGATTCCTTCGTCCCATGTCTTCAGCCCTCTTTTTCTCCGTCCCCGACGGCGCCGGTCCGCCAGTGCGGAGCCGCGATGGACACATGGCCAGACCGCTCCGACTTCCCTGGTAGCCTTCAACCTCAGCCAGACAGTCGCTTTGGATCCCGGCCATACGGGACGATGTCACCACGCGACCACGTTTCTTCCCCGAAGGGAGGGGCAGGCTGAGAATGGCGCCCAGTGAGGGCAACCTCCGTACGTCCCGGGACAAGGGGCGCGAGAGAGTTGGCGTATGGAGAGGTCTTGGAGAGAGGCGCGAACATGCAAGGTTCCCCCAAGCGACCCACTGTTATTGCCAGAGGTTCTGGGTGGGATGCCATCTCAATAGTTCAGTACCGCTGACGACCACGCGCAGGTGTAGTGTCGACACGCACACCCTCGAGCGTCGTCGTCGTCGTGGGTCATGAACCCGGATTGGTCAGCACATGTCCCAATATTTGCGGCTAAAACAACCCAGACCCATCCAAGACGGCCGGGAAGGAGATCCTCTCCCCAGCTAGCCCCGGACATACGCAACGGCTTTTGCTACCCTGCGACGGCCTCGACGGCAGGATCCAAGCCCCAGGCAGGTCTGACGACGCGCTAGACGCGAGAGGGTCAGCTTGAGGGCCACCGCAACAAAAACGGCCGGGTCCCCTCGTGGGCTGGCCCCCTGGTTAGCACTGAAGGAAGGGCTTTTTGTATCAGGGGTGGTGGACGGGCGCGAACCGCCGAGAGTCTTTTGAGTCAGACCCTCTTTGTTCCTGGGGATTTACAGCCAGACCGCGGCGTATCCTCGCAGGACAATATGCCGGGCTGGCGGCTGTGGCTTTGTATTGTGGGCCTGTGCATCCGGAGACACACCGGATCGGATGGGGTGTGGCTAACCGGCCGAGCTCGCCGGGCAGGCCGGTGTTGAGCACTCCCCCAGCCATTACTACTAGGAAGGCTGATCGGCACTACTAGCAGGGACGTTTTTACACCTGGCTCGATGTCAAGCCCGAGTGGAACTTGACCAGTAATGGAACGCCATCGAAGAAGAACGTGGGAAGAGAGACACCCTTCCCCACCGCATGGCAAGCGCCGCCCTTCTCGTGCTCTGCCCTACGAGACCCCGGCTAGGCAAGACACGGGGCTCGGCGCGTGGCCCAGGTCACGGCCGGGGCACAGCGTGGCAGGGCAGGGCAGGGCAGAATGTTGCAGTGCACATGTGTCGTGTGGGAGGCCACCTCGAGCGCAACCAAAACCCACGATGGAGACCAGGCCGACTGGGCACACCCCTTCCTTCCTCGCGGCTTTTGCCGCAATGAACCGGCTTACAAACCCCGAGCGGGGATTCGAGAGGGAGGGGGAGAGTGAGCGTGAGAGTGAGAGTGAGACAGAGACAGAGAGAGAAAGAGAAGGAGGGATTGCAATGTGCACGAGTGTGCGTGCGGCATGGACGCCTCCCTCGTGGCTGCACGCGGCCGCCCGCAAGGTGTCGCTGCGCCGTGACGATACATGGACTCATTTTTGGGCCGATGGATGACGAGGTTGCTGTCCTGCAACCCCAGAAGATGAACCCAAGCAGGCCCCCAAAGCCCACGTTTTTTTTTTGTTCCCCGTCCGGCCGGTTGCAATCCCTGCCCCACACACACCCCTACACATGGCTCTTGCTTGGTCGCCTATGTGGCCATAATCCTACGACGCTTGCCTTGATCTAACCGCCGCGGCGAGTGAGCGCCCGAAGTCTGCGCCTGCGCCGCAGCCCGGCCACGCGACAAGGGGACAGACAGACAGACAGACAGACACCGCACGCCTGGCCGGGTGTCACCACTTTTTTTGCTCTTCAACCCACGTCACCTCTCCACCACAACGGCAGGGCAGTGACGATGGTGGTAGTGATGGTACGATTGCACATTGTAGCGTGGTAGCGCGCTACTGTGCACAACAAAGATAGAACATTCGATATCACGTCCCCGACCGACCCTTGCGGGAGAGCATGGGCCAGGACCCCATGGGACCGACGAGACCCTCGTGGACGTCACGCTAGCAGTCGACCCATACACGCACGCACTCAGTGACATCAATGTGTGAGAGACCCAAGAATTCAACAGCACTGGCATTCATGATCCCTGATTTCGCATGTAAGCATCGACAGGCTACCTAGCTAGCTTCACACTCTCTGCACGCGGCCAGCCCTACACTTGTCGCTCAGTCGGAGATACCCAAATGGGAATACTACCTCCACATGTACATTCCACCACAATGAAGACGCAAGACAAATCCTCTGAGGCAATCTTTCCAGACCCCTCCGCCTCCCTGTCATTTCCAGAGCCCACCAAGCCAAGCAGGTCGGTCAAAATGGTGGGTGGGAAGGGAAGTGCGGATGGTACTTGGCAAAACGCATTGTGAATAAGCAACGCAGTCAAGTAAACGGAAACATGACACAACGCCACCTCCTGGTTATATCACCCTGATCCTTGAGTGCCCAATATCGTCGCCCACTGGCGCGTACCTCTATGTACAATGTAAATGTACCACAGCGGGAGTTGCAAATCGTAGGACGTCCGTCTGTTATCCTTTTTGTGTCCTGCCGTTCCTGTCTCCTGTATGAAGCATCAATGATATTCGCCGCTGAAAGGGAATCAATCTTGCCACAATGGTGGCCAGTAGAAATCGTTCAACCAATTTCCCGCGCAGACTTGAAGCTTCGTAACATTCTCAATCCAGCTTGGCTGTGCGCGACCTTCTTTACTCAAGGTTGACTGGATCACAAAATCCTGCACTTGCTGGCTTTCCCCTTCGAACGCTATATGTTCATGTCGAAGTATTGGGTATTTGTGACATGATTATGGCTAGAGCTCGCTGCATAATGAACAAAATTCCGAAGAGCATTCGCTGTTTCCATGCCGAGCCGTAGTCTGATCCTCAGAAACTGTAGCCTGCAGCGATGAATGTATCAACTGAATCAAAACCATTGCAACCGCCTCTGGTCGGGACATGTCGCACAAGGGGCTGGGTTCCCACCAAATCCATCTACATTCGCGAGTTCTCTCAAGTTTGATACAGCAAGTCTTTGGAATCCAAATGGTCCTTATCCTGGGTCCTGGTGTGCCGCCTAGGCGCCCATCTCCGGCACGAAGGAATAGTTGAAGTCCATGAGTCCATCCAGCATCCAGTGCTGGGGGTCGAAGAAGTCGTAGTTGGTCGGTTCATAATTTGAACCGCCCAGTCCTCCCTGGCCACCACCAAAGCCAGAGCCACCACTAGGCGTCAAGGCCCCGTTGGAGGCGGTAAGGAGACTGGCCGGCAGGCCATGTGCGGAACTCAGTGGGGGGTCGAGATGCGTCGATGATGCCGATGAGTGCTCTGCGGAATCTGGATTCGTGGGATGTTTCAGCGCTGCGTGCCCTCCGTCAGCAACGGATGCCGGAGGGCAGGCGGGGGGGCTCCACTTACAGTCGAGGTTTCCTCGGCCACGGGCTTGGTATTCTTCTCTCCAGTGCCAGATCGAGTCAAAGACAAGACTCATGCTGTGCCTGCAGCGCACTTGCAACTGCAGGCTGTCATCGATCTCATGCACCGAGTCCTCGTCATGCCAGGATTTGCTTCGTTTCTCGGCGCGGGCTCCGTTCCAGATCTGGACCATGAGCTCAGCGAGCCTCCAGTTGAGATCGTTCTGGACAACACTGGTTGATCGTATGGCTGTGATGGTGCGGTGAAACAGTATGCGGCCGCGTTCGTAGTCTACGGACTTGGCGAAGAAGGACCGCAAGAGTTTGAGCAAAGCGAAGCCGGCAGCGACCAGCATTTGCTGGATGTAGTTGGTGGCGTATCGGAGCAGATCACTCTCGCCATGGGGGTCATGCGGAGAGCTTGGTTTGCTGTCCAGGACGTAGTCCAGAAAACTGCAACTGGCCCTCCAGAGACCCATCAGGTCGTCCATGTAGCCGGGTGTGTTGTGGGAGTCGAAGAAGCCGGCCAGCCGAAGGTGGAGGCCGGCAGCTTTCAGGTGAAGGTTAACGACCCTGGACAGGTTGCGAGACATTATCGAAGCCTGCAGCTCTCCGTACTCGCGGCGATACACACGCATGAGCATGGCGCGGTGCTCATCTCCAGCGACGCCCCGTGGATCGCTAGCATTGCTGTACATCTCCTTGGAAACCTTGTCGCAAAATCGCTCGATCTGTAGACGAGCCTCAAGATCCGGTGAGAGCTGGAAGGGGCCAGATTCACCAGGCCGAATGGCCAGTGTCCAGTCGTAGAGACTGGACGCGGGCTGGCCGTAGCCCGTTCCAATGGACTGGGCGACAATGTTGGTGACGGCCCACGTCATAACACGGTCATGCAGCTGCTCGTTGTCCAGGTCGATGACAACACGCGAGAAGTCATTGATGTGATGAGGCCTGTGGAGACCGATGAGGGTGGCGACCTTCATCATCACACCACACAAGATCTGTGTTGGGTCTGAAGAGGATGTGCTTGTGGGAAGCGGCCATGTACACAGGAGGCAAAGGGCCTTGACGACATGGTGGCTGCTGGGCACATCGCCAATGGTCTGCCACAGCAGATTGGTGAGAGGGCCGGAAAGATTGCCGAGTAGCGAGGGGTCAGGATGGTATCTGCGGGCGGCGACTGAGATCATGACCCAGTAGAGCAGGGGATGCTGCGCATAGTACTGGTCGGGGGACTGGCTAGGGTTGAGGAATGGGAGAAACTGGTCGTAATGGGCGAAGTATTCGGCAAACAGCTGGGCCTCGGCGTCCTCGGTCAAGCGGACTTCGTCGAGCTCCCGGCAAATGCGAGGCACGTTGTAGGAGCCGCCGCGCTTTAGGTGCAACAGGGACGAGACGGCCTCGTCAGACCCCATGAGCGAGGGGTGCCTGGTGTGGGAGTAGACGCTGGCGACGACGGGAGACTGTAGCTGGGACTCCATGGGGTCATCCTCGTCCGGGATGAAGCCTTGCGACCTTGCCTTTGCGACATTGCGACGCAGCTTCTCGATCTCCCTTTCCATCTCTGCATGTTTGCTGCGCTTGCCAACGCGCTTGAAGTTTGATTCGATCTTGCAGTCGAGTTTGAGGCGGACACATCTGGAGCAGCTGGTGAAGGGATCTTGTACGACGTCGCATCGCAGCTAACACCAGGCGCGTTGGTCAGCACGAGTTGTGGCAGGGACAATGGGCCGGACTCACCTTCTGTTGGCGACACTCGTTGCAAGCCCTCTTGACGCCGGGCTGCCTCTTCTTCTCGTGTTGATCGGCGCCGAGGTCGTCGTCACCATCAGCGCTGCCGGGGCTGCTGCCGACCATGCCGACAGAACTCCTCTTGCGCTTGGCGGCGCCATTGGCACCGAGTGCGGAGGCGTGGGACAAGACATGGCTCCGGGCGGAAACCGGGCTTGTCGGGCTCATGGAGGAGGCAGGACCTCCATTGCCGTGGCCATGGCCGTGTTGGGCCTGGGCCTGGGCTGCCGAGCCTGCGGCGCCTGCTCCGGGGGCTGCAGAGCCGTCCATGCACACCTGCACGGTGGCGGAGGTGGGCGGGCAGGGGAAAAGACGGAGGGGGGATGGAGGGAGGGATGGAGGGATGGAGATCCGGAGAGGACGGGGGAGTTTCCGCTACCGCAGCACGGCGCAGGGCAGGCGGGACCTTCCAACAGTCCAGGCACGCTGGCGAACGGATCTGGGGGGCGCCGGTGTCGCGATGGTGTTGTCACTCGGGGCCGTTGGTGAGCCGGCCTGGGTCATTGAGCAAGACAGTCGAGGTCGAGGTCGAGGGCCGGTAGCGGAGGGTGCGGGGTTGGCTTGGTTTAAGAAGGAACCATTTTGCTGGGGGGATGGGGAAGCTTTTGCAGAGTCATAGTTATCAATCAGAACTACTACTCAGTGCTACTTCCTACATGCACCTAGTAACAGCAGATCATGAGCGGCCACAACGTTGGCAAATTGGGAAGAGTCATACTGCCACCACCCTGTTACTATCGCTTGTCGCTTGTCGCTTGTCAATGAATATTGCTCCTTGCTCCTTGCCCCTTGCCCCTTGCTACTGTCCAACCTCGTTTTTTTTTTCTTTTTCTCTTTCGCTTGCACCTTCCCGCACACATCCCCTCATCAGTCCCGTCGCCTCTTTTCCATCCCAGGTAAGCGTCGCAGAAGGGGGAAAAAAAACTGTGAAGCGCACCTGCCCGCTTTTCGACTGGTGATGGCGGGGAATGAGGCGGGAAAGTGGGGGAAGGTCAGACCATGATTGGCTGGCTGTGACAAATACGGGGCTGATAAGCCTCGATAAGATCCAGATCCCTGCTGGCTCGGTAGAAATCTCGCCCTGGATCATGGAAAAGTGGGGACCCTGTGCCCTCCTTCAATGTTGTCTTGCTCATCCAGGTGCTTCATCCACATGCCCGTAATCAGTCAGCTCTCTGCGGACTTTGTTTCTATCGCACAGCAGCCTCACATGGAATCATCGAGCCTGGAAGGCCAGAAAGGTCCTACCGCTGCCCGGGTGTGCGAATTATTGGCCCTCCTCGGGTGCTTTGTTCTGGCGCACCATTGAGCCTCGTCACGAGGCATTGTCGGGTTCCACTTGCTGTCAACTGGTATTACTCCATGTAGGCAGATGCCCGCAAGCTCGTCATCCAATCTTGGGACCCGTCGGCCTAAGACGTAAAGTTTACCACCACTGCAGCTTGGCACACCCACGTCTCACCAGCTCCTTGGTGTGCAACCACAACCCCGGTCTGAAGTCCTGGAGTCAATTGACAATGCCTGACCAACTGCAACCGCTCCCCAATAACTTAAAACGACCACTGATCAAAGGAGCTCTGAAGCCACCGCCGGTGCGAGTCAATCCTCCGTCTTACTCTGAACAGCCCCGGCTCAACTCCGAAGTGACCGTCATGAAGCAGGACTGGCAGTCCGACCCAGCAAGTGAGTCAACCAACATTGGGACCTTCGTTCAATGCTTTGCTTTGGCAAGAATGGCCATGCAGAGTCTTTGATATGCCACTTGCCGACCACGTCTGACAATGAATGGCACCACAGACAAAGTCTACAAAACAACCACTTGTTCAACAGCTTTCCCCCAGCCATTTGTCAACCCTCCTAGTGATCTGGCCAAATGAGATGTCTGCCCACTCGACCTACTTTCTGAGCCTTTGCAACATGTGTACATCAAAAGGATTGTCCTAAGGGGGGTTCCGTTGTTCGCAAAATGGTAAGGGATGGGTGGGCATAGCTCCAACTCAATCCGGAGCAAATTGCAAGGTCCTGCTTATTCTGAGCCTCAAATATTACCGCTCAGATCAATGCATGGTTGCTTGGTAGCTGTTGAGGCCTCTAAACGTATCCCTATGCAGGGCATGAGATCCTTCTTGCCCAATCAATTCATGAATGCCAATGTGCAACGCGGACCACTGCCACGGCATTATCAATCACACCAACGGCGATGGGTGAATCAAGCACTGGCATGCTGCTAATGTCGGCCTGCATGAGTTATATCCAGGAAACAAATTGAGTCAGACAAAGCAAGTCTCCTAGGGTAGTGTGTGCCCTTAGCCTATTAAGATTCAACATCTCTACAATACGGCAGACGACGAGATACGAAAGACGACTAGAATCTCAAATAATGTGCATGTGTGATACCTACCTACCTAGGGTAGGTACCTGGGTAAGTACCTAGGTACTTAAGTACTCAAGTAGGTAGCCTTGGACTGGAGCCCAATCTAGACCCATCATTGACGAGGGTTCATCGATTTCTACCAACGTCAACAAGACTCTGGAGTCGGCCCCATAGGTTTGCATCATCCCGCTGTGAGATTGCGTGTATGGCTCAAGCGGTTGTCGCTGCTCTCAACCCAGCAATCCATTGATGACACCCTCAAAGTCCGCGCGTTAAATCCCCCAGGCGACTTGGCCCACTCGAGCTCATAGGACACATGCAGCCTCTCCTCCACCGGGCACAAGACTGGCATTGGTCCAGTGCCTCCTCGCCTCACCGTCGACCGCACTCCCGCCAAACGAACAGTGCAGCACGCCCGCCAGCTGCGTGAAGCTTCTGTTGACGGCGGCCTCGAGCTGAGTGAAAACATTTTATTGTAAGTAATTGAGCCCCATTGCTGCAAGCATACTAGCATAAATATGTACTGTATTATATACATTTCAAGTGCTGAATGGGCAGTCAGCCTGTGACTTCACATCTGTCCCGCCGCTATCGATTATATGGTGGAAGCCCAAGTATCTTTGCAAATCATAATCACAATTCTGCCTCCCAGGAAGCTGGACGGAAGTAGCCAAGTTGGACATTGGCCCTAATGCCACCGCCAGGCCATGACAATTTACAATGACTTTCCCTATTACTTAGTGTCGAATTCAACCGACTGATCGTCCAAATGTTGGTCCTCCTTTGACAAGCAAGTGATTTGAAAAGATCAAAGAACTGATATCATTTCATTTTGGGGACGGAATTCCATTCCGCACTAGAGACGAGGAGGAAGGCATCAGGACAAAGCACGGGAGTAGACATCTTGACTGGCCGAAATACACAAGAACAAAAGCACAAAAGATGTGTTCACAGATATCCGTTTAATACCATCCTATGTGTATTATGAATTATAACAACATTCTGAGATGAATACCGGATCAGATCTGGGACCATCGTCGTGCTTTGTCAAGTGCTCGCCGTTTGCGTCCACAGGTACATTCCTGTGGATGACAGCCCGTAAACAAAGGCCGCAAAGGGCAACCTGCATTGCCAAAGCAGTTCATTTACAAATATTTACCACGCGCAACCTCCTGCTGCAGAAGTATGCTTTTGGAATATTTGCAACCACTCTGAATATAAGTCATAATACGTGAAAGATCTGTAATCTGGCCACTTTTTACAATGGCTCGGGCTCTAAGAAGGCAAACTGAGAATCGCAGGGCGATGTTGGAGGCGAACGCACGCTACGTTGCCTCGCGTCCCCCGGGTGCAACAAAACTCAACATACTTCCTTCGAAAAGATATCTTGTCGGTACGTTCTGCCAGCTACTCGTCTTCCACCACTCCCAACTAGCCCTTACATCGCGTTCACCACGCTGACTTGAACTCTGGTCCTTCCCAGTCACCTGCATTGACGCCCGCATTGATCCTGCAGCGGCTTTTGGGATCAACCTCGGCGAAGCACATGTCATTCGCAATGCTGGAGGAAGCTGCGTAGCTGCCCTTCGGGATATCATCATCTCCACGCATTTCCTGGCCGTGAAAGAGGTTTTCATCATCAAACATAAGGGTTGCGGAATGATATCACTCAATGGCCTCGCAGGCTCTATAATGCAGAACCTCTACCCCTCAGAAATTGCATGTGCGGGTGCCTCTTCGATCGCTGACATGCAATGGTACGATTTCGGATGCCCCTACGCTGCTGTGCGCAAGGACTGGTGGTTCGTCCAGGTAATTACTTTTCCCTGATCTGAGAACCGGATTTACATTTATTGACGTCCTCCCCAGAACCACCCAGCCATCCGCGCACAGGACCCGACGAAGCCGGACAGGGACATTGCCATCCACGGCTTGGTCTACGACCCGGACACCGGCGGGCTAGAGGAAGTTGCGCCTCGAGTCGATCCATCAACGAATCCGTTGCCGGGCTCCCAGCCAAATGGTGATGATGCGGAATGTGCAGGAGGCAGCTGTGGTGCAGGAGGCAGCTGTGGTACAGGAGGTAGCTGTGGTTAGTCTTTTGTTCCAACCGAGCCGACCATCGCCTGAACAAAGATAGGAGCGGCGGTGGAGAGTAATACGCTCAAACCACCTACAACCACCCCAGGTGGCAAGCGACTACCATCTCCCGCAGCCGTATCGAACACGCCGAAAAAGGCCAGAAATGGTGATAGGCCAAGTTCAACTTCCGTGTCAGCGTCAGCGTCCAAGTCTCGTTCGGCGAAGAAAAACTCCGACGTCATGTTTGGACTGGATTAGGGTTGGAGGTCAGCTCGGGCTCTCATCAGATTGTTCTGATTGTCTGCGGCCATTGGAATCTCGTGTCTTGTTTTTCATTCTTGAAAGCTCTTAATTCTATGGTTGGTTACGGATCTGTGAACTTGCGTCGAGGAGGCTCCGGGAGGGGACTAGCAAATCTCCAGAGTCAATGGGCCACTCGTTCTGTGTCCGCACTGGAGATTTCAAATCCCGGCTACTCTTAGAATAGATCACGTAACATTATTAGGAGATAATTAGAGTCTTTGATACGTGGGTGGTTTCGCTTCTATTCCGTATACATCCGAGGACATACAAGGCGCCTTCATGCGGTGGTAAGCGCTCCAGACCCAGCTCTTAAAAAAAAATACAGTGAGCATCTATCAGTTTGTGAGTGAATTAATCATTGTTGGGCCATGATATCAGACATCTTGATTCTGTGAGAGACCAAAATTCCTGGACCCAAGTGGAGCGGAAGGTCCAGAGTAAGGTGGCGAATGAGATGAGCTCGGAGTCTCTACCTGCCGTCCGGTAAAGGCTTGTCCAAGTAGGTTCATTTGAGCCGCACATTAAGTTGATTTTCTATTTGCGTCGCCCTGCGGATAAAAATAAGACCAAGGCTGCAGTCGGGTAAGCTGACATGCATAGTCGCGGACATTGTACATAAAGATGAAGCGACTAAGGCAAACATTCGGCATCTCGTTGGCCAGGGCGAGGTGGTGCCAAGCCAATCGTCCTCAAGCTTCCGGTTTGTGCCACCATGAGGTCAGCTTTCAGAAACAAGCGGCACGCGTCTTGAAGAATCAATCGGGGCAAATCTCAAGTACGGGCATGCTATTCGACGGAGCATGTACGGATCAAACCGACTAGCCCTTGCGCGCAACTGTATTTATGGACCCCGTTCATAAGGACGTCGTAAGCTGCACCGTACTTGTGATATTGCGTAATGATTTAAAGTCGATCGATCCCTACGGCACCTTTGTCCCTCGATCCAATAATTTATTTCCATCCTCGCCCGAGCTCCACGATATCCTTCCATTCTATTTCCAGTCTTCAGAATGCATCTACTCACCCCCCTACTCGTTGTCACAGCCCTGGCAAATCCATTCCTTACCACCGCCAAAATAGTAGTCATCAAGTCCACCGGCGAGGCACCGTTCTTTGATCCAACAAACACCACTGCCGATGTTGGAGATATCCTCGAATTCCATTTCAAAGCCCATAACCGGAGCATAGTTAGGGGCGACTATGACCGGCCCTGCGAGCCGGCTGCATCCGGAGGCTTCTATTCAGGTTTCTTCGTGCAAGACAACACGAACACAGAAAACGTAAGTCCGAATGGACCTACCTACTACAGCCGCATCAGAATTTAAAGCGCCAACGACTGACGCCAACCTTCTGCAGTCAACAGTCTTCCGCGTCACTGTGAACGACACAGACCCCATTGTCTACTATTGCTCGCAGAACGGGCCCGAGTTCGGTAATCACTGTAAAGAACATGGTATGGCGGGAGTGGTCAACGAGCCCAATGTGTCCAAACTCCAGGACTATAGGGACGCGGCTGCCTCGGTGGACACCAGCGTCACACCGGACTCTGGTCCCTTCGGAGGCGTCTTTGCCGAGAACCCAGACGCTGACGCCGTGAGCGGCACTGCTTCTGCAGGCTCGCCGGCTTCAACGTCAACGAATGCGGCGGCTGAAGGTCGGAACTATCTGTGGAGACAATCTTGTTGGCTCATGTCTGTGATGGTTATTGTGGCTGCCATTTGACTGCACTGTGTGGTCCTCAGCATTTTATAGAAGTCTCTTCTGTTCTTTTTCTTCTTTCCTCAGGGTTCACAGTTCCATTGCATGCAAATGCTGAAAATCTGATGAGGTCCACTGGGGGATAAATATGTAAAATAAATTGTTCAGTAAGATATTACACTCTATCTATAAGAATGAAATATAATAAATTAAATAAGAATGTAATTAAGTATAAAAATAATCTATAATAATTAAAATATAACTTTATTAAATATAATAAAATAATAATAATTTAAAGTTTTTATTAAAGTTTTATAATTATTATTAAAATATTTATATTTAATATTAATAATTTAATTAAAGTTTTATTTAATTATATTATATATATTATTATAAGTAATTATATTAAATATATTAACTTACTTTTAATTTATAGTTTATATATTTATAAAAATATTTATAAAATTTAAAAGAATTATAAATATTTATATTATTTAATAAATATATTTTAATATTATATTTTAAATTAATTAATATTATAAATTAATTATAAATTTTAAATTTTTAAAAATATTTTTAAAAGATATATAATTTTATTAATTTTAAAATATTTATTATATAATAAAACTTTATTATAAAATTATTTTATTATTAATTATAATAATAATATAATATTTATATAATAATATTTATATATTATTAAAATAATTAATTTATTAAATTAATTATTATAATTTATTAATTAAATAATTTATAATATATAATTAATAATTATATTTTTATTATAATAATTAATTTAATTAAATATATAAATTTAAGTTTTATATTTAAAAGTTTTATATAATTAATTAAACTTTTATTATATTATATTATTAAAAATATTTATATAACTTAATTTAATTAAAATAATAAAAATTATTATTTATAACTTATTATTTATATTATATTATTTAATAATTTTAAACTTTTATAAATATAAAAGTTAATTTAAAAATTATAACTTAACTTTTAAATATTTAAAACTTTAAAATATTTTAAAGGAAAATAATAATTTTATAATATTTATATATTATTAAAATAATTAATTTATTAAATTTATTATTATAATTCTTTAATTAAATAATTTATAATATATAATTAATAATTATATAAATTAATATTTATTTATTTAATAATTATATTTATTTATTTAGTTTTTATTAATTATTTATTTAATATTAATTTTTTTAAGTAACTCCTTTATATTTATAAATACCTTTTAAGTTAATATTAAGAGACCTTATAGTATAATTTTCTTTTCTAATTTTTAATACTTTTAATATAAGCCCCTTCTAATACCCCTTCTAGCACCCCTTTACCTTTACCTTCACCTTTACTATTTAAGTTATATATATTTAAGTACTAACTAAATATTTAAATATTAACTAAATGCTAAAAGGTTAAAAGCTAAAAAGATAAAGGTAAAAACTATACTTTTTCTAACCTTTTAATACCCCTTCTAACCCTCTAATACTTTAAACTTTTAACCTTTTAATATTTAGTTAATATTTAAATATTTAATTAGTATTTAAATATATATAATCTAGAAGGTATGCTAGAAGGTATATTAGAAGGTGTGCTAGAAGTATGCTAGAAGGCGTGCTAGAAGGCGTGCTAGAAGGTGTGCTAGAAGGTGTGCTAAAAGGTGTGCTAGAAGGTGTGCTAGAAGGTGTGTTAGAAGGTGTACTAGAAGGTATACTAGAAGGCGTGCTAGAAGGCGTGCTAGAAGGTGTGCTAGAAGGTGTGCTAGAAGGTATACTAGAAGGTGTGCTAGAAGGTATACTAAAAGGCGTATTAAAAGGGGCTTATACTAAAAGTATTAAAAATTTAGAGAATCTTAGTTAGGTATATAGTTTTATATAGGCTCTATATATAAATTTTTATACTAAATAAGTAGTTAATAAAAAACTAAGTAAGTAGATATAATTATTAAATAAGTAGATATTAACTTTAATTATATTTTTATAATAATTATAATAATATATTACTTAAATAACTTTTAAATATAAAGTTAAAAATATTTATAATTATAATTTTTAATTAATTTTAATTTAATTATTTTATTATATTATAATTTAATTTAATTTTTAATTTAATTTAAACTTTTTTAAACTTTATAAATACTTTTATTCTTATAAATATAAATATTAAATTAAAACCTTTAAATTTAAATTTAAAATTTTATAGATTTTAATATATTTTAAATTAAACTTATAATCCCTTAATATTTTTAAAAATATATTAATTATTTTAAATATTAATAATATTTTTAAAAATAAAGATTTACTTTTATAAAAATATAAATTTAATTATTAATAATTATTTTTTCTTCTTTAAATAAAGTTATTAAAATTATAAACTTAAATACTATATATAATAAAAAGTATAATTACTTTATTTAAAGGTTATTTTTAATTTAATTAAATAACTATTTTTAAATAATTTTATTTATAATATAATAAAGTTAATAAATAAATATTTATTTAAATAAAGTTAAAACTTTAATTAAAAAATAATAACTTTATTTTTATTTATTTTATTTAATTTAAAATTTTTAATTATATAATAATTTTAACTTTTAATAAATTAATTTATATTAAAATTAATAATATTAATTTAAATTAATTAAATATAATTTAATATATTAATATAAAAAAGTATTTTTTAATAATAAATATTATTATAAATAATAATAAATTATAAAGTTATTATAAAAAGTTTTATATAATAAATTTAATTAAATTAATCTTTAAAAGTGTAGGAATAGAGGTAATTGCAATTAGTAGATAGTTTAGGTTATGTGACTCTAGATGGTAGACTATAGTGAGGGACTCATCGCTAGCCCTTCAGGCCTGGCTTCCTCCCTTCTATATAATTCAACTTAACTAACTAAACCACTCTTTATATATATATATATAATAACTTATATTAATAAAAAGATATATTATATTTTATTTCTTAAAATTTTAAGTATTTACTTTTAATTTAATAATAAAATTAAAAAAATATAAATAGTTTATATAATTAAAATTTATAATTAATATATATTTATATATTTTTATTTATATATTTTTAATTATAATAATATTTAATAATAAATTTAAAGTTTTTAAATTAATTTTATTTTTATAAATAAAATTAAAAAGTTTTTTATTTATAATATTTAAATATAATTTTTAAATAAAGTTTATAAAGGTAAGCCTTTAGAAATTCTATAAAGAAATAAGTTTATATTAGTAGGGATATATATGTAGTAGTATCCATACTTAGTATTTGTGAACAGTGCGAGCAATGTTCTGGCCCGCTTACTTTTTCATACCAGGGCATGACTGTTGCTTTAAATTGCGGTCCAAATACTGGCGGACGGCCGTCCTGGTCGGATCGGATTTGACAAGTCAGGCGATCCGGTGCTCACATGTGGGATGGCGATCGCATTCCACAGTAGAAAAAAATGGCACCACCCGGAAGAAGAAGCACAGTCGTGGCCGACCAAAGCTCCGGGCCGACCGGGGAAGCGAGCTGATGGGGATGGTATCCGTTATCTGATCAATCTGATAAGATCCTTCCCACCGAAAAGGGGAGCCAAGACATTGCAGGGCGTCTTCGTGCAGGGAAACCCCCTCGCTTCATTAGGATCGTTGTGGAGAACAGTCGTGTCTTGGTAGCCCAGTCATAATTACTGTCAACCGCCCCCACTGGAGCCGGCTTGCCCAGGCCGGACTCGCGGGTGTAGACATGCTTAAAGCGGTGGTGCCCTCCCGGCCTGGCTTCAGGGCTGGTGTTCTCACCTGGTTTGAAAATGCGATATCTAGCAGTCTCCTCCCCCCGCGGATTCCACTTTCTTCCCAGTCGCTGCCTTGTCCATAAGTCACAGCTCGCCCTCTTGAGTAGCAGGTGGCCATTTACGTGCTATTCTCCCCGGTTCGCCTCAAATTTCGTCACCATGGGTTCTCAGTTTGACTCGTCTGAGATGGCCCCCTTCAAAGTGCTCGTCCTTGGCGGCTGCTACGGCGGCCTGTCTGCTGCGCTCAATCTACTTGATTTGACCGAAGGACGCGCAGCACGGCAAGGCAATGGAGCCGTACCAGGTCACGACGGCAAGGTCCCCGTCGACATTACGATTGTGGATGAGCGGGATGGTTACTGTATGTTCTAGACTCGTCCGTCACATCGAGTCCAGAGACTTTTCTTTGTCCATGATCGAGAGTGTCGAAATTACCGGCCGCACAGGTATGAGTGCATACTGATACTAACCATGGTCAAAAGACCACCTGATAGGATCTCCCTTAGCCCTCGCGGACGAAGCATTCGCCTCCAAAGCCTGGGTCAAATACGAAGACATGGCCGCGCTGAAGACGCCCAAGATCACAATGATCCAAGGCAAAGCGACAAAGGTTGACATGTCCAACAAGCGCGCCACAGTCCTCGAGACATCGACGCAAGCACCGAGGGACCTGGCGTATGACTACCTCGTGGTGGCCACCGGCCTGCGCCGCGCGTGGCCTGTGGTTCCCCAATCCCACTACCGCAAGCAGTACCTGTCCGAGGCAGGCGCGCACATCGCGGCCGTCTCAGAGGCCCGCGAGGGCGTGGTGGTTGTAGGTGGCGGCGCAGTGGGCATAGAAATGGCTGCCGAGCTCAAGACGGTCCACCCGGGGGTCCGCGTCACACTGGTGCACTCCCGCGACAAGCTGCTCAGCTCCGAGCCGCTGCCGGACGAGTGCAAGGACAAGGCGTTGGAGCTTATCCGGGACGCTGGCGTCGAGACCCTGTTGGGCAAGCGGCTGGACCACACCGAGGAGGTCACGCGAGACGGCGGCCGCAAGGTGACGGAGGTGACCTTTACTGATGGACACAAGATGGACGCCAGTGTCGTCATAATGGCCGTCAGCAGATCTGTGCCGTCGACCGAGTTTCTCCCCAAGGCGGCGCTAGAGGAGGACGGCCTGATCATGGCCAGGCCTGAAATGAGGTTTGCGGGAGACGTGCCCAACGCTCATGCGCACTTTTGTGTTGGTGATTCTATCAAGTGGTCGGGGATCAAACGATGTGGTGCTGCGATGCACATGGGCTACTATGCGGCGCACAACATCCATGAGCTCATTCTGGAGAAGCTCAATGGTACGGCGCCGAAGTTCCTCGAGCTGGGCGAGGTACCACCCGTGATAGGGCTGGCTGTTGGCAAGAAAGCCATGTCTTACAGCCCCGGACAGGGTGTAGATGCTGGAGAGGAGGTCATGAGAGCGTACTTCGGCGATGATTTGGGCTTTGGTATTTGCTGGCGGCACATGCGGCTCGGGCAGGAACCTGGCCTGCCCAAGGGCACACCTATTGAAGGCTGATTGGGTTCAATGATCTGGTGATCGGAAATACCGCTGAAACAGACATGAAGTCCCCATTGGAGCTGGCGACCAACACACATTGACCTTGACATCCGAAACCAGGTTGAACTTAAGGTGGTAGTGAGCCCAATTCTAGATGTATATAGTTATGGCTTTGAAATAAAGTCAGCCAGCCAGCTGTATATACAATACGTTCCCCACGACTTGGTCCGTACATCGCACATCAGAGCTTTGGAACCAAGCCGACCAACGTCCCTCCGACAACCTTCTGCTTCCTCTCTCGCTCGTCCTCGGCAAGCGGGCAGATCTGGAAGAAGCGCTCACGCGAGCACCTCATAAGCGCGCCCCTCTTGTTCGGCAGGTCGACGAACTTGTCGAGGCTGAACCCGTGGACAAGGTCGTACGCCAGCACGGTCGAGTTTGTGAACTTGGGGTCTCCGACGACCTGCATCGTGCGCGGGTCGTCGAGGAAAAGATAGTGCATGAGACTGCTCCACCACGCGCCCACGCGGTGAGCGCCGCGATAGCGGACGTCACCGACGAGGCTCTCGCGGCCGCGGTCGAAGTCGCGGCTCGGATAGTACGCGCCCAGGGGATCCTCACGGGCCCAGTACGTCTCAAAGTAGGCAAAGAAAACCCCGTCAAAGGCCGCCAGGACGGCGAGCCGGTGCGGGTCCTCGTGCGCCCGCCGCAGGTACTCGCGGTGCTGTTCCAGCGTGCCTGCTTCATCCCAGCCGGCACTGACACGCGGGTCGTTCTGCCAGTTGTGGAATAGTTCCAGGTGCGAGGGGTCGGTGTGGTCCAGCGCCACCATGCTGAAGGTCTCGCGCAGGTGCGGCACCCACCTCGAGTAGACTGTGCTGCCCGGGCGGGGCTTGGGAGCCCGCCTGGGGTGCCATACCTGCGCCGTGCCCGCGTTCGAGGTCATCATGTACGTCAGGGCTGGGGTAGCGGCCGAGGCGTATACGGTTCCGGGCCGGTCGGTGGGAACCCAGGCGCCGCGGGCTCCAAAGGGCGACCCTGCGCCCTGCCAGAAGGATGCCCGCAGCAGGATCAGCTCCCCGGGCGGTGTCTTCGCGCCCGGGCTGCTATCCTGCGGGTGGTCGACGGCCAGTACGGTGGCGCGCAGCTGGTCTGCGAGTATCTCATGGCCGGTGCCCTCGAGGCTGAGGCGGATGAATTCCTCGTCCGGCCTGACGGTAAACAGCACGTAGATGAAGAGCCATGCCTGTGCCAGCGTTGGTGCTGCGTCGCCGTCCCAGATGAGGCTGGACTTTGGCGAGCGCCGTGCGCGGGCCCATGCCGTGTTGTTGGACTGGGGAGGGAGCTCGCCGGACTTGAGATGCTCGGGCTCGCTGAAGTGCAGACTTGTGCTGTGCAGTGGCTCTGGAGGAGCATGTGTGTGGGGCCCGGCATGTTCAGGTGTGCTCAGCTGGTATAGCCTTGCTGAGGAGGATGATACCGCCTTGCTGGAGGTTGTGATGAAGTACGGGGTCAGGTATGGGTGTGGGAGCCTGAGGACTGGGTCGGCCGAAGGCCAGTCTACCAGCGAGAAGCGTGCCATTCCAAGTTCTCAGACCGTATATGATGCCTGTCTGATAACGCCGTGGGTTGAAGCTTGATGAGCAGCTCGCAGACGGCGCAGAAGAGCTAGTACGAGGGCATCGTCGATTCCATTGCAGAGAGATGATGATGTCTTGTTCCACACAGAATTCCACAAGTCGGCCCGCAGAGGGCCCCGATTGCTGAATACCACCCCGTATCGAGGCGACCGCCTGCTCGGTTCGAACTTCGTGCAGGGTCCAGCCAGGATCGACCCTCGAGTCTGTGTCAGGTACGGCCGAGGAGCCGACGAGTAAACGTAACTTTCCTACTCCGAAAAACATGCTGTCGTCAAATGACGTTGAGCTTGAGGCCGGCCTGGTCCAGGGTGCCATTCCCTCCGGGGGCAAATACGACGTGTTCCCAATCATGCTGAGCTGCGGCCGAGAATGGTGCCCCAGGCAAATGTTCCCACGCGCGCTTGGAACCGACGGACAGGGGAGGCTTGCATTAGCACGGATCTGATAACTTTAGCGGGTTAAGTGCCCCAGTTATCTTGCGGATCTGATAAAAAATCTCGTCAAATTAGCGCTGGTCCAGCTGCCGATCTCGCTGCACTGTTGGGGGGTTTGGGCAGCTTGGGCTTGATCAGATAAAAATTCTGGCGTGGGGCTAGGCCCTTCCCATTGCGACATCCGAGGCTACTTTAGTAACAAGCATTTCCTGACTGAGCCCCCCTCGCCACCCTCGATTGGCTGGTCATCTGTTGATCGCCCGAGACCCCCTGGGCAGATCCTCTTGGCTGGCCAACAGTCCAAAGTTGCTACGTGGATTTATGCCTCAACTTGATGGACAAGGTGAGCAGAAGAAGGTCAAGGCTATGTACGTGTACCGTTTACTAATATCTAATATCTACCTCTTGGGATATCTTTCTTCCTCCAACTCCGACAGCAGAACCACATCCAAAATGGAAACAAGTGTAAACATGAAAAACAAAGAAGGGGGTGGGCAACAAGATCTAAAGCTTGGCCTGCTTGCCCACCTGCTTCGACAGCATCTCCTCGCCCAGCTTGGCCAGCTCGAACTTGCGCACTTTTCCGCTGCCCGTCAGGGGCACGGTGGCCGGCACGCCGCCCTCGCCCATCCAGAAGACGTGGGCGGGCGCCTTGTGCTTGCCGAGCCTCTTGGTGACCCATTCGCGCACCTCGGCCTTGGTGAGCCGCGACTCAGCACCCTTGGCCGTCGGCTTGCTGTCCAGGAACGCGCCCACCACCTCGCCGTAGTGCTCGTCTTTCAGGCCCACCACCACCGCGAGCGAGACTGACGGGTGTGCCATGAGCCGCTCCTCGATCTCAAGAGGGTAGATGTTCTCGCCGCCTGGGATATGATGTTAGCCCTGGTACATGTCCGACTGTGCATCAGAGAGATTGGTCCCCGGAAGCTCACCTCGAATGATAATGTCCTTGAATCGCCCAGTGATGCTGCAGTACCCATGCTCGTCGAACACGGCCTCGTCGCCCGTGTGCAGCCACAGCATCCCGTTCTCGTCTCGCGTCATGACCTCGGCCGTCTTCTCGCTGTTGTTCCAGTACCCAGCGCACAACTGATACCCGCCCATGAGCAGCTCGCCCCTCTGGCCCACGGGCAGCGTGTTGCCGTCGCGGTCGACAATCTTGGCGTAGGCATGCGGCATCAGCGTGCCCACCGTCGTGAGCCGCGTGTGGATTGGGTCGTCGGTAAAGGCGTTGAAGCACGTCGGGCTGGCCTCGGTGAGGCCGTACGACGACGTGAACTCGGTCATGCCCAGCCGCGACACAAGCTGCTCCATCAGGTATCGCGGCACGGGGGCACCGGCGATGATGCCCGTGCGGAGCCGAAGCTGCGATGCGTCGAGGGAGGCCGCCTCCGGGAGCGCCAGGAGCGTGTCGAACATGGCTGGCACGCCGTGGAGTGCGGTGCACTGCTCCTCCTGGATCGCGCGGATCGTCGCTGGGCCATCAAACACCTCCGCTGGGTACACGATCTTGGCACCATGGGTAATCACCGCCAGGAGCCCGAGGACGAGGCCGAAACAGTGGAACAGCGGCGGTGGACAGCAGAGTACGTCGTGGCTGGTGAGGCGCATGCGGTCACCGATGAAGCGAGAGTTGTTGACGATGTTGTGGTGCGTGAGCATTGCTGCCTTGGGGTTTCCCGTCGTGCCGCTCGTGAACTGGAGGTTACACACGTCGTACGTGGATACTTTGGTCTCCTGCCTGTATAGCTCGGCTTTGTCTTGCTTGCTTCCCTGCAGGATCATGTCCTCGTATGTCCTATAGCCCTCACCGTCGCCCCTCAGGATGACCACCTTGGGCGCGTCGTCCTTGGCTGCGACCTGTGCGAGCAGTGGCTCGTTATTTGTCCTTCCGATCTTCTTGGTGGTGAAGAGGACCTTGCACGCGGTGAACTCGAGTCCGTACATGGCTTCCGAGGGTGTGTATGTGTTGTTGAGTATAACGAGGATGGCGCCAATCCTCACCGTCGCGAAGAAGATGGCCGCATATTGCTCGCAGTTGCCAGCCATGATGGCCACTCGGTCGCCGTGCCGGATTCCCTCGGCGAGTAGGGCGCGTGCAATGAGGCTGGACTGCCGACGGAGGTCGTCGTAGGACCAGCGAGCTCCCGTCCAGGGGATGCTGATGCAATCTGCCTCCCCATTGTGTTGGCACTGTAGTTCGAGGAGTTCACCGAGGGTAAAGTCGCTCAGTGGAGGGTCGACGGGCCCATGCAGAATCGACGGAGTTTGGCGCTCAACACTCGGCTGCTCGATGGCCGAGGGCAAAGTTTGTGTAGCCATCGTATATCCTGAGGTGAGAGTGTCTTCGAGCCTTCGAAGCACTTCAGCGAGATTTCGATGATTACGATCCGTTTTCGCTGATGCTGCCGCTGATTCCTCGTGTGAATCGTAATTTGGTCGCACTATACGAGCATGCCCTCAAGGACAAGTTTTGAGCATATTGGCCACCCACGTACTGAAGGCCGTGGTCCTCTCCCTCGAGCCGGGGGCTGCTTGGATACTCGGACCACGGCATCGAGGAATTATGGGTCCAGCCATGGCTGCTAGGCAGAAAATCCAACCTGGGCACCTTGCCTCAAACAGAGGGCGCAAGCGTGCCAATCATCCCGCCAGTCGCAGGCCCTGGTTCAGGTTGAGAATGGAGACGCCGTGGGGCTGTCAGGACATCTCCCCTTCTTTACCCGTTCGAGCTTCCACCCACACTGGCACGGGACCCAGAACAGGACCACCGTCATGTTCCGAGGCCAAGGCCGAGCCCAGTCGGCGGCCTGGCCGTTGAAGCTGCCACATGCAGTTAGCGAGGTGGTGCAAGGACATGGATGGGCTTGTAGTGTAGTCTAGATCCTGGTGTGCCAAGCGAACCTGTGCCCGAGATAGCACCTAATCAGATGATCTGATAAGATTTCCACACCTTAGAATGGCCTTGGACACCCATGTACCCCGTCAGATGTGGGATCATCTCGAGCCCCGGTCTCGGCGTGGGTGACGATTGTGTCCCACCACGACCCACACTTGCTGGGACGTGATGCGACCGAGGAGCTGGTCCAACCTCGAAACTTTTACACCCACTCGGCCATTACGTAGCTTTCCACGTATCCCAGTTGACAAGTGTGCAAGAAGACGGAGACTCGTATCACCGAGCTTGTCTTAGGTAGAGGCAGCACAATTAGACACATACACTACAACCCGAGGCACGACTGCTAGCCCACACGCTCTACACGCCCTACTAAAAGACGAAAAAAAAATCTAAAGGACTAACTATTTCTAATAATAAATAAATAAATATTATACTATGATAAGATTATTATTTTTAATTTTTTTTAAAAAAATATAAATAATTAAAAAAGATATATAATTTTAATTAATTAATTTATAAAAAACTTAAAAATTAATTTAAAAAATATTAATATTAATATTCTTTTAAATATAAAGTTTTAAAACTTATAGTTTTATATTTATATTTATATATTTATATTTATATTTATATTTTTATTTTTATATTTTTATATTTAATATAATTATATAAATAACTTTTTTAAAACTTATAAAAGTTATTCTTTTAAAGATAAAAAAAGTTTTTTTTAAAAAGTAAGACATTACTTAAGCTTTATAGTATAAAGGCTCGAAGTTTGCATTAAATAGAGTGGATTTAAAGAGTAGGGTTACCTAAGGAAGAAAGGAAGAAAGGAAGGTTACCCCTTAGGCTTTAGGGTGAGAGGTAATAGTGTAATGGGCTTATTAATAAGGGGACCTATAGGGACCCCTACAAGGCCCACCTACCACCCTTAACCCCTAGCTCTAATTAAAAGAAGTATTAATAGAAATTAAATTAAAAACCTTTAAATTATAATAGTAATACTTTATCTTTATATACTTACTATACTTACCTACTTTAATAATATATTATTATTTAAATTAATATTAATTAGTTAATTAAAAAGTTTAATTAATTATATAAGAAATTAAAAGAAATAATTTTAATTAATTAAAAACTTTAAAAAAAAGTTTTAATTTAAATTAAAAGTATTATTATTATATATATATTAAAAAATAAAGCTATTAAAATTTTAAATTTATATTTTTATTTTTAATTAATAAAAGTTTAAAACTATATAAATAAAATTATTAAATTTATAGAACTTTAAATTATATTTTAATATTATTTTTAATAAATTAAATATTTAATATTTTTAATATAAATTTTTAAACTTTTATTACTTTTAATTTTAAAATATTATAAAACTTAAAATTATTTTAAAAGAATAATATAACTTTATTTAAAAGTTTAATTCTTTTATAATAAAAATAATTTAAACTTTATTATAATTAATATATTAATAATATTTATTTAATTTTAATTCTTTTATTAATAATAAAATTAAATTAAATAATATATAACTTCTATTTAATTTTTATTTTATATTTATTTATTCTTTAAAGTAAATTAATTTACTTATATTATTTAATAGAAAGGTAGTAAAAAGTAATAGCTAGTGTATAGAATATACTTATCCTAACTATATATATTAATATGCATAAGGGCTATACTTAGGCACTTGTCTTGTTTCCTAATGAAGGAATTAGGCTAGAACAGCTATTAGCAGCGCTATCGCCGAGCTTGTGATTTGCGTGATTCGATCAATTGCGTGGCGAAGGCATCATCCGGGAACATGCCACGGCTTATTTGATCAAGGAGGACTTCCATGATATCCCCGTCTTTAGCCGCGACAACATAACTAGACAACTATATTATATAAAATTATAAGGGTGTGATTATAAAGAGAAGTTAGTCTAGTCTGAACCCCTATCTAATAACTTTCTTATTAAACTACTTATATATAATATTATACTCTTTTAAATATTAAGTAAAAAGTTATTTATTAAAGTTTAAAGCTATTACTATCTATCTATTATAGTATAGTTAGTCTAATAAAAAAAAGTTTAAATTATTATAATTATAGTTATAAAATTATAGTTTTTTATTATAATTAAGTTAATTAAAGTATTACTAATTATATATATATATCTATAAGCTATTATTATAAACTTTAAATTCTTTATTAATTATATTAATAATAATATTAAAGATTTTAAGAATATATATTTTTATTAAATATATTTATAATATTATTAATAAAAGATAAAGTTATACTTAAAGTTAAAAATAAATACCTCTTTAAATTTATTTATAATTTCCTTATTAATAAATCTATTAATTAAACTTTTAATTAATTAAAATTATTATTAATTATATTATGAAATTAAAGATATATTAAGAAGTAAAAGGTTATATTATTAATTATAATAGTATTTATATTTAAATAATAATCTACTTTAATTAAAAGATTATTATTTTTATTTTATAACCTATAAAGTTTTTTAAAATATTATAAAATTAAATAAAATACTTTATAAAGCTATTATAAGAGTATAAAGTAAAAGAATTATTTAAATTATTAAATTTAAAGTAATAAATATTAATATAAAATAAATTAATTTATAAGTTATTTAAAAGTAATTTTGATAAATATAATTAATTAAGGTATTAAAATTAAATATAATAAAAAAGAAGTAATATAAATAATTTATTACTTTATTTAACTATTTTAATATAATATATAATAAGGAATTAAGGTTAATTAAGGATTTAAAATAAAACTTTAAAATTATATTTATTTAATATTTAAATAATTTATAATAACTTAAAAATAAAATTTAAAAATAAGAATATATATAATAATATTTTTATTAAAAGTAATATTTAAATTAGAAATTAATATAATAATATTAAAGTTTATTTTAAAAATAAAAATATTAATATATTTAAAAATAAAATAAAATAATAAATATATAAATATTATTATAACTTATAAAATAACTTTAATAATCTAAACTAAGCCTTTAAGGTTAATAATATATTATTATACTTTATTAACTTTAAAATACTATCTATCTTTATAAATTAATAATTTTATTTAATTAAATAAAAATCTATTAATAATAATATAATAATAATTATTATTTTAATAACTTAATTAATAAAAATTTAATAATTTAAAATAATTAAATTAATTATATAAAATATAATAAAATATTATATAATAAAAATAATTAATTAAATATATTTCTTAATAAAGTTAATTATATTTTAATAAAAGGTTTAAATAAATATTATTTAATATAATTTTATAAACTATTTTATTAAAAGCTTTAAAAACTTTAAAATAATATATTAAATAAAAGATTAATATTAATAAAAGAAAAACTTATTAAATTAAAAGTTAAATTAAGGTTATAAAATAAGTAGGTTAATAGAATATTTAAAGAATTACTAATTATTAAAGATTACTAACTATTTTAAGGGCTATAATTAATATATATATATAACTCCTTAAATTATATTATATAAAAATTTTAAAATATATATTTTAATTTAATATTTTTAACTCCTTTATATATAAAGTTATATTAAAGTATTATTATAAAGGTTAAAATTTTAATATTTTTAACTATAAATTATAAAGATTTATTAATTATAAAATATATTTTTATTTTAAATATTAAAACTTCTATATCTTTTATAAATAAATAAAATTTAATTTTAATTTTAATTATATAAATATAAAGATTTAATTAATAAATAAAAACTTTTAAATTAAAATACCCTATTTTAATTAAATAATATTAAAGTAAAATACTTTATCTAAAAAGTACTTTAAAATTAAGCTTTAAACCTTTAATTAATAATTTAACTTATAAATTAATACTATTTTTATAAATAATATAACTATATTCTTCCTTTTTTCTTAATTACTAACTTTATACTATTTCTTATAATAATCTAATTATATATTTATAATTATTATTTTCCTTAAATTTAATAAGCTTATCTACTTAATTATATATTTTACTTTATAATAATAAAAGTATAAAATAATTTATTTTAAATTTTATAAACTATTTATTTTATCCTTCTTTTTTATTTTATTAAAATTAATTAAAAGTTTTAAAAATTATATAAATATAAATAAATTTAATCTACTATTTAATATTATATTTAAATATAAAAATCTATATAATTTTATTTCCTTTTAATAACCTAAATATTTACTTTATTATAATATAAAGTTAAATATAATAAAGGTTATATAACTTCTTTATATTAAATAGTACCTTTTTTTCCTTCTTTTAATTTTATAAATAATATTTTATTAATAAAAATAATATTAAAACTTTTTACTATTTAAATTTAGTATTTATTAAATAAAACTTATTATTAGAAATTATAAAACTTTTTTATATACTATATAAAAAAATCTAATTATTTATTAAACTTTTAATATTTATTAATATAAATATAAATAATTTATTATTTTAATTATAATAAAGATATTTTATAATATTAATTCCTTTTAATTTTTTATTTTATTTTACTTTTATAAATATATAAACTATAATATATATTTTATTAATTATATTAATATATTTATTAA